TAGATAGATAGATAGATAGATAGATAGATAGATAGATAGATAGATAGATAGATAGATAGATAGATAGATAGATAGATAGATAGATAGATAGATAGATAGATAGATAGATGATTAGGTGGTGGTTCAGGAGTTTTAATTTCAGTGAGGGCCTGACGGTTTAGAGAATTCATCCCCGTGCACATAAAGATTGTCTCTGAGTACTCCCGCTTTCTTCCACATATGGTGATTTTGTTTTTATTTGTTTTTGTGTCTTTAATGAACTGGCTACTCGAGTGCGTACCCAGCCTCTTGCCCGTTGACCACGAGATAGATCTTTAGACTGGGCATATATCAGTTCGTGACCCGGCACTATTGGTACGACCAAATTGATTGTTCCACTGGAACAGCGATTCTCTGCTCTTTGCAGTGACAGTTGGCTATTGACCGGACAAAAATCTCTCTGCACTGTCCCCAACCGGCTGTCAAGGTCGAACTGGACAAAAACAGTGAAATTCAATTGCCACATAGCATGATTAGTCAATAAACACCCACAGTCTGGGAAATTTCTAAGTGACTCTGACTCACACGTCCTGTTATTCAATTGGTAATTTGCAGGCTTCTTGATGTTTTTGATAACTAATTAATTTACTTGTAAACTGACATTGACTGGGAACCTGATTTTAGGGGAATTAGACATCAGGGGAAAGCCTTCCAAAATGTTGGCTTTGAATTATGGATTGGTTCTGTTCCTGCTGCTGTTACATTACCCTTTGGATGAAAGTTAGCACAAACAGAACTGAGCAACAAAAAAATCATCCACCATTTCATTTTAGAGAATAGCTTTTAACAGGGTCCAATCCCAATGTTAATCAATAAATGTTTCATTTGGACCCAAAAGACAGCAAAAACAGGCTAGTTCAATAGAGTTTTAGGATAAAAATACTCAGTTCAAAGGAAATAATCGGTCTGGTTACAGATGCCTTACTCTACCTCTACCACTCCTTCAATATTTCAAATCCTTTAGTTTGTTAATCCAGTTGAGTAGCATATCTTTATTATGTAAACACTGTTTATACATTGATTGAACAGATTTTATTCAGATTTCTCCATGTGTAGGAGTGGTTTATCATGCTCCACAGTCAAAACATGCACGTTATGTTAACTATTGATTCTAAATTTGATGCAGCAGTCTCAGTGTGTTAATACTTGTCTATTTTGTTTGTCTGTGTGTGACCCTGTGATGGACTGGCAATCTGTCCAGGATTTACCACCCCTCTTGAGGGAAATGAGACAGTGGATGGATGGATGGATGATTTATGCAATATCTAATTCAGTTGATAATCTGAAAAAAGGAATAGAATAAATATGTCATTAGAAATAATTATTTTATTGTGAGATGAATATTGGGAGTTAAGTATTACTTTTCACATGCATTTCTGACACTTAATGCTGGACAGTGATTGGTTAACTCAGTCTGTAATCTTGCCACTTGTGTGCTTGAGTGTATCTGTGTGTGGGTGGGGAAAATGTGTACTTGACCGGGGGACAGAGATCATGGTATCAAGAGCAGAGCTGAAGCAGAAGCGGTTTCTTGCTGATTCTGAGCATGGAAAAACCGAGTGACTTGACCAGGAGCCAGAGTTATTTTGTGCACGTGTCCTGACGAGCATCATTTTCAGCACCGAATTTAAATTCCACGACCCTTCCCCATACTTTTTCTCCATCCTGGAATCCACAGTCACATTGTTATTTCTCCTTTTTTCTTTCTTTGGATTTTACTTTACTACTTTATTCTAATTTTGTGGAAATGTAAGCACATGACTTCTCCTTCACTGAAGGTTGTTAAATAATTTATTGATTGTTGAACTTTATCGAAATAACTTGAATCTGTGGTTAATATCAGGTTATACGGGTTGAATTAAGATAAGATAAGCGATTATGATAATGGATGGATGAATGGATGGTTGTCCTGGTTTGTTTTCTAGGTTAGGTTTTGTGTTTTTCATAGTTTCCTGTATTTTATTTTGGTGCCCGAATTAGTTTCCTGTGTCTGCCTCTTGTGTCTCTGTTTGCTTCACTTCTTCAGTGTTTCTCTTCATCTACTTTCTTCTGTTTTACCTGCTCTTCAGCAGGTAAAACAGGTTATTTAGTGATAACACTCCCCTTCATATGTACTTCTTAGTAATTTCCATTCTTGCCAGATCATTACCTTATGTAACTACCTCTGTTCCTGTTCCCCAGGCTTTATAATACGGCAGACATTTTCAATGTGAGACATACAAAGCCGCTTTCTAATAAAAAGTAATGTTACATTCCGTAACCTTCCCTGAATAGACGGCGATGTTGAACCTCTGACCCACACAACTGCTTGGGAGATTTTGGCTGCACAAACTCAGTAATAAAAACAAACCCAGCAGCTGCTCTCTATATCATCTTCCCCACCAAAAAGGACTGACCCAGAAAACAGCAGCCATGACATATTGCTTCTCAGCAACTTAAGAATAACAGAGGAAAATAAACAGCAAAACTGAGCCTGCAGTCAGTCTGAAATTGTTCCATTGCACATTGTCTTACTGAAATAAACAGACATGTCCCTGAAAAGATGTTGCTTTGCTGAGATTTTAATAAAGTGCCATCGAAAAGATCAAAATTCACAGGGATTCAATGTTTGTTTTCGGCCTTTCCGCTTATGTACAGATTTTTCTCCCGATTCATTAAAATTTTTAGGTAAAAATTCACTGCTAGTTCCAACAGTTCCAATAAAGTTTCTCCTGGTGTGTTGTATCCCACTGGCAATAAATTGGTGGACATTTTGATGTCAATAGACAACAAACTGTCTAGTTTCAATGCATGTTTGTACTTCTTACAGATTCTTCAAAGAGAATCTAGATTATCCAGATTGTTTATTCCATGGAACTATGTGAGTCATTAGTTGTTGGAGTTCAGCCAGCAACAATCGCAGATGCAGGCTGCAGAGAACAGGACCCTCAGGGCTTTCTTCAGGGATTTCCTCCGAATTTCTGAGGAAAACAAAAAATCCTAGAAACAGTCTGTGGCATCTAAGCTATGGGGGACAGCTTTATGTTCTCTCAGACAAATGAGGACCCTGAACTTGTAATAAAGAACTTTATCCAAACTCGACTTAAGGTTCTGGGAGAGAACACCACCTGGGAGAAAAGAGACCTGTAGGCCAAAATCCCTCGTGGCCAAGTTTGAGCACCAAAAACAAGAGATTTTGGTAGGTAGCCATGAGAGGGAGCTGAGGGTAACCGACTTCAGCTTCAACGACCAGTTTTCAAAAGAAATCCTTGAGTCCTGTTTCCCATCCGGTAAAAGTTCATGGAAAGAAGCTCCTGTTGTCTTTGTGGTGGATACATAATTTGTCAATGGACAGATCTCCTGTGACAAGAAAACTACCGTCTACTAATTCCAATTCATATCCATTTGTTTGCACTAATGTAATTAGGCATATCCATGGACTGCACAGACTGCACATACATAAATTTGTGTTATTCTGTTTTACTCACAGTGATCCGCTATGATAAACGTACCACTGCCAGTCTCATAACAAAGAGCATTACTGTATGTGGATGATGTTGTCTTTGGGTTTGCATTGCGCTATATCTTTTCCACAACTATACATTTTTGGAAAGCTTTTTTTAAATCTTTTTTTTATTTTAGTCATTCTATCTCAACTGTCTGCTTTTCCACTTCAACACGTTTTGTGAAGGTTAACTTGCAAGGTACATATCATGCTCTTGTCGGAAAACACAACAATGTGGGCTCATTCACACATAGTAGGTACAGACACAAGATTGAAGAGCATTTGTATGGTGCATGCAACTAGATATACCTGCTCCCAAAAATATTTATCGATTAATTTATCTTTACACCACTCACTGAGTTAGTTGGTGAGTGTTCATGTCAAGGTTTTTATAGCAGCATAGACATCTATGTAAATTGTCCTAGTTGTAGGCCCTGCCTCCTACAATGTTCTCAGCTAGTGTCTTCTGCTGTTTTGTCTCCACCGTTGTGGCTCCACTGTTTTGTTGCTACAATGGTATCTCTGCTGTTCTGATGGAATTGTTCATTCTGCCTTTATAATCTAGTCTTTTTCCACTGCTTTCTCTGCGGCTTTGGCTGCATGTTGATGAAGTTCATCTTTGTGGCATCATACTGCTCCATTTTGTATTTTGCACCTCTAATATATGCAGCGCTATCTGGTGGCGCTCTGGTTTATGACTGTTTGGCTGTAGATGTGGCATTGGTATTTTGTTTGTACTGTGTGTCAATGTGTATGGATTAACTTTTTGTTTTTCATAGTTGCTGGAGGCTGGTGGTGGCAATGCTGGTGACTGGTGGTGGCACCCACTTGTCTTGTCTTGTCTTGTCCTGGGGAAGTATAGTAATTACACGAAGTGTGTGTGTCTGACAGGTGAGACGGTTGTTTTATGTTTTCATTTTCTTTTGTTTGGGTATTCCCACCCTACACTAGTTCCTCTGATCCACTAGGCCCCAGTTTTTAGTTTGGTTCAGTTTCTATTGTGTGAGTGTGTTGTGGTAACTTTTAATTATTTGCATTTTTTGTCATCGTTAAAAAAGAA